GTAGACTCAGGTAGCAAATTACTTACTTACAACCATACTAATTTTTTACTGTATTGTTTTGGATTCTTTTTCCCCATTGTGCAGGTAGCAACTTCTCAGAAGTGCATCCAAAATAAACTAACGATGAATAGCGACAAACTGAATTGAAAACAGAAAGAACTTTTTGTTATTTCTTAACTATTCTTATCTTACCGATCAAAGTATTTGGATTGGAGGCAAAGATATTATACTTTATTTGCTGAACTATTTTCTCTTTATAGAAGCCTGGCAGTGTTTCTTCAGGCACTTCAGTCAAGCTATGAGACAGTGAGTTTATCCAGACTCCTCCAACAGGGAGTGAGGCATCACCTTGGAGGTGTTTCAGAACAGCAGCCCCAAGAGTAGAAATTCGTGGAGAAACTTCTCAGGACTCTTTTCATGCCGCTCAGGGGTGGCATCTTAATATCTGTGACTTAAGTTAGATACCAGGAGTGTTTTTTACTCCTTTTGGTCTCTACAGAGCAAGGTCTTCCTCAGGCAACACTGATAGCAATCTGCAGAAGAGAAAACTGAGGCACAAGGAGAAGCAACTCTGCATGGAAATGGCAGCTGAAAACCTGAACCAAATCTCTGAAATCCCATTCCAGTGCTCTCTCATTGAGCCACGCTGTGCTGTGGAGCAGGGAAATCTGCCTTGCCATGATTATTGTGTTTCCAACAAGTGGGAATAAAGGGCCGAGCTTGCTATTTGAACCTGTCAGTGGCTGCATGGCAGCATCAGAAGCATTAGAATGAATCTGCAGATTCTTATGTAAATTTTCATTAAAGTCAGGGGGAGTTTCAGGTCTGTTATTAAATGTTCAATTACACTCTGCAAGCAACAACAGAAGCTAATTGATAAAAATATGGTAGGAGACAATAGCTTTCAAGCAAAGGAGACCACTAAAATATGTTTGTGAAGAGAGCCTGGAATGATATGAATAATGAACAAATTTGTAAAAATCAAAGTCTGTTTGCAGGTGAATAATAAACAGAGGAAAGGGCAGAATTGGTTGAATGAATTATGCATTATGAATCATTTAACAAGCGCTGATATCTATAAAGATAATGGTTCTAATGTAAATAACAAGCCTTTAATATTTATGCAGTCTTAATAGTCTGGAGTCTGAAATGATAGGTAAAAATTAAACCATCTCCTCCGTGTTTTTAAGTGAAAAACAGATTTATCACAGCATCACAAACCCAAAGCAGTATTACTTCATGCTAGGTTTGATACACCTTTGCTCCACTTGGGACCCTTTCTGCCCTAATGCTGCAGTCTGGACAGAACCAACACCTCTAATTGACAGTAATGCCATGGAAGTAAAATCAGTGCCTTCTGATATTACAGAATATCCCTAGATATTACACAGCACTCAAACAGTGACAAAACTGGAGCTTTCACTTTCCTTTCTGCTTTGAGATAAGGATCTCTGCACCGACTTAGTGCAATCACAGCAGCCAGAGGAGAAGGGAAATGAAAAGCCCCTTCCCCTCCCCTCCAAGCACGGAGTTGTGCGTGTGGGAAAAGGGAGAGGCCGTGGAAAGCCCTCTGCAATCACAGCTGGGCTGTTAATTGCTTGGCCCTATGCACAGTCACACCTTGTCGCTCCTCTGCCCTAAGAAGGGGCCACCCAGCCCAGCAGTCCCAAGGCAAAGCACGAAGGTTTCTGTATTCACCCGTGTCATTCTCGTCTCACGGAAGTGCCCGTGTTTTAGCACAGGCAGGACACTGTCTAGGCACCCACAGATGACAGCAGTCCTGAAAGTCAGGGAGTGATTGTGGGACTGAGAAAGGATTGGGTTTCTCAACCCCCTTTTTAACAAATCGAGGTTACAGCAAAGGAAAAATCATTGGTTCACAAAAGCAAAAGCAGACAAATTCAGTGCCACACACCCAGCCACTGATCACAGCAGCAGAGGGTCCAGCTGTTGGGAAAAAACAGACTTTCCCAACAAATCTCTCTCTCTGTCAGAGCTAGTACCATATTCCTAAAGAGTTTTCACATGTACCTTGGGGAGACAAGGTTGCCTTGTCCATATTCTTTCTGTGTGGCCATGGATTTCTGCAAAACCTACTTACCTGGAGGTCTGATCTGATGCAATTCCCTGGCTTTTAATTCAGATGCAAAACTGGCACATACAAAGTGTGACACTATATTGAATTGCATAGAGCCTGCAAAATGCGTTGTGTTTTTTAAAAAAATAAATTAACTTGACCTGCAGGATATTGATATAGTGGCAACTACCCCTGCAGGATATAAAACTGGCACCAACTATAAGAGCTTCCATTAGGGTTGTAGGTTTCTAGTTCTAGTAATGACCATTTCATCTGAACATGTGGAAATAAAACCAAACCATAATAGGACTTAAAAAGCATTCAGTGCATATTTGTCCATAAACACATCATATAAATAAAAGCTCTTTAAAAAAAAAAGTGTCAAATGAATCAATGTGTATTCTATTACAGAATAATAATATCCCATACCACATGTGTTGCTGAAGCAAATAACTTTAGCTGGTATAATAGTATTTTCCATTTTGTGGTACAGCTTATATTTTGATCTGTTGATTAAGGACCTGCCCCTGAGGAAGTCAATGACAACAGTTCCCCAGGCTTTAAAGGAGAAGGAAAAATGTGTAAACGATTTGGCTGCAAATAAGGAAACAAATGTATTTTTCCCTCCTTTCTCCTAGCGTGAGTGAACACTGAATACAAAGCCAGCTGAAGACAGTGGAAAGATTTGCTCTTTGCTTCATCAGCTTTGGTTCTGGCCCTAAGAATGTATGTGTGAGATAAATTTTGGCACTACTGGAAACCCCACCTCATACCTCCCACCGTGAATATGTCATCTTTCTATGTGCTCATGCATGCCAAAGCTTTATCTCTTCTGAAATATTGCCCAGAATCAAGCTATGTTTACTTAAGTAATAGGGAGATTCACTTATATGCAATAATTTCTTCAATGGAGAGGCTGTCTTTCTGCAGTTCTACTTTGGACTTTGTTCCTAGTTTAGCTTCTGTTTTTCTAACTTGATGGTTTTATCCAGGTTTGACAACAGGGTTGGATTTTTGTTAGGTTGGTTTTTTTTGAAGTTACACACCTGGAATTAGCTATTTCTGCCAAGAATTACAGTGCACCTGGAAGTACTAAATCATTTTAATCTGTTTTTTAGTGGCTTTGCACAATGGAATTGCATCTCTTTAAATGTTTCTTACCTTTGACAAAACTAAATCGCAGCTCTGGACAGAGTATTTTATGAGTATGTAGATACTGATATCATGAGGTAGCTGTGCCCTACTAGTGTCTGCCTTTACTCATCCTAGAAGTAGTTAGCTGAGAACTACGTCTCAGGGTTTCTTTCCTCTGCGGTGGCTCTGCTTACCTACATAACATATGGAAATGTGAGCATACACTTACAGCAGATTGTTTGCTATGTTTACACCAGTTCTAACACTAATCCCCATTAATGTTTGATATTGCTCCCAAAGAGTTTAAATAGATGTCAGGCCTCAGATCCATTGCATACGCGTTAGGCATCATATAAACTTCAGATGGAAAGGTACTAAAATGCTGTAGGATGTCCTTTTTTTTAACATTACTTTTACTGACTGTATTACCCACATTGAGTGTATGCAAAGCCCTTCCACTTTCATGATTTCTGTCATCACATTTAAGAGTCCAATTTTCAAGAAAAACATAAGCCCGTTTCACATCCAGTGTCTTGCTTCTGCTCTCGGTTTCTTCCATTTATCAAACGTGTCTATGAGTGCAAAGTGAAAGAACAGCCAGATGCACGCAAACAAACATAAAACTTTCTTCCTCTTTGTTGAAGAATTTCAGACACAACCATACTAGCTGCGTTTTGCTGCAGAACAATAACCACCAGGGGCATGGCAAGGTTTGCCCCAGGCTCTGTAGCCCATCCAGCAGCAGCCTGGGTGCCCCAACTTGTTAGAATATATTTAACTGTTGTGCAGAGAGACATGGGCCCTTCTGCAAGGGCAAGTGGGAATAGCCTGAGAAGCACAGAAATGACAAGTGCCAGGCATATCCCCAGCTCAAGCTGCTCCTTTGCTCGGTATGAACTATGTCTACTCACTGAGATTTTATGCTTCAGTAGAAAGAAGTATTCATTCATTGCCCACCACGTCGAGCTGGTCAGGCCTCCTCCATGCCAGGTGCTCCCTTTTCCCAGTCATTTTAATTATTTTCCATGAGGCTGTTTCACAGGCTGATTGTTTTAAAAATTGCTGTCTCAGAGGCTGCAAAGCTTTCCTATCCAACAAACCTCCTCTGTCGGAGGTATTTGGGATGCAACCACTTTGCATTTAGAGGACTGTTTCTCAATTATAGGCTTATATAGTGCCCAGTTGAACAGGACCCTGACCTTAGCTGGAGCCTTTCTGAATCCCTTGTATTGTCATACAGGTGATAACAACAACATTCAGCTACAAAAGTCACCAGCACAAATGAGCAACACTGTGTGAGAGCGCTTGGGGACAGCGAACAGTCAAGAGCAGAAAGTGGTTATTGAGACAGGTTTGTAATTGAACAGAGTGGATCTGCTTCTTTAGGCTACAGACAACTAATTCTCACTCCAGCCAACCACAGAAAAGCTAAATAAAAGCTGTAGACATATCTCTTAAAATACAGTGTTGGTTAGTAACAAAAATAATTGGACTTCACAAGTTAGTGTGTTTCACAGTAGGGGATAATTTTGTGTTAAATGACTAAGCTGTGTCTCAACCTTTTCTGGGCTCATTATATCCTTTAAGTAGTTCAAGTTTCCAGATAACCAGCAGCAGAACCAGGTAAGCAGGCAAAATTAGTATGGCTGGGAAAATTTGTATCTGTCACACAGGTCTGGTTCCCACACACTCTGGTTACATCATTACTTAGTCTGTTAACTAGGAAACCAATTAGGCCAGAGAGCTACTGTCAGGTGACCAAAACACGAAAATGCACAAGAAACCCTACCCGAAAGATGGGATTTCAGCAGAGGCCCTCAGACAGCTGACTCCTCTTCTGCTGCACTGCAATTTTCGTATTTCGTTTCACCTTTGCTTTCAGGCTGAGCTCTGAGGTCCCACAGATTGATGGTTGAAGAAGCCTTGTTTCTCCCCCCAACAGGTGCACTGAGAAAATTGTTTCCTGCATCAAAAATTACACAAAATTATGTAATGATTTCTCTCATTCACTCTGGAAAATTTCCTTCTCCTTCACACCTTTTAATTTACAAGGTGAGAACAAGGCAGTAGGTGCAGAACTGAATGCTGCACTGCGGGTAACAGTAAGTTCATCTAAAAGGAAAATGGTGTGTAAGGCTGGGGCACAGTTAAAATTCAGGGCACAAACACCTTTAGCAACTATTGTTTGCTTTCTGCAAATGTTGCAGGTATTTCTTCCTGCACCAAGGAGACACAAAGGTTGCTGGGGTCACCCTCAGAAGAAAAGCATGCACAGGCAGAGGAGGCCAGCATGGGGCACTGGGAGGACAGGTGAAAGCCAGTTTCCTGTAAAGCATGCATAGGAATGGCATGAATGTATGAATAAATACACCTAATCTCTATGCTACATCACTGATCTGGCTAAAATACATCTTACAGGTCTATAATACTTTTTTTATATGCTTATGTTGTGGACACATACTCATTACATCTAAGTGTATATGTTTTGCATATGACAAATGATGCAGATATTTTCTAGGTTGCACACCTCTCTGGAATCACCTGAAGAGCTCACTGACTTGCTAAGTCCTTGCTCAAATCTACAGAAAACCTGCAAACAACTCCAATACCTTTGCTGTGGGCCAAGAGCACTAACAAGCCACATGCTCCTTCTCTAGATTCTCGTTCAGATTTGTTTTCTATTAGGACAATGAGAAAGAGGGAAAGAGTTGATTAAGCCTCACCTCAAAAGCCTCAAGAAGAGACTTCATGAACGAGGTGAGGGCAGGCTGAGGGCACGGGGGGCCCTCACCCTGTGGAGGATGATGCTCAGGTACCAGCACTGCTGCTGTTTGATGGTAGTAAAGTATCACTGGTTTAAAGAGTTCTCCCTCCAGTGTGGCCCCCTTCATTTCTGATGGCCTGTCATCTTTGGGGTGGTTTTTTTATTTTTTGTAGGAAAATAATCATCAGAGGAGGAAAACTAATCAGAAATACTTTCCTTCCCAATGATTTTGTTGAGCAGATGATTTGATCCCTGTGTAGAGAAGAGCAAAGCAGTCTCTGCCGGACGCCTGCCAGCTCGGGGAACCAGGCTCTCGCATGTTTTCCAGCACAAGCACCTCATTATTAATTCATGCTCCAGGTCCTCTGTACATGCTGTTACTAATATTATGTTTCAACAGAGTAATGAGCAACAGCAATAGACTAACTATCTTAATATATTTTAAATAATGTTTGAAATATTAAATTTGAGTTGGGATTTTTAATTAGAGCCTGAGCAGGGTATTGACAATCTTCCTACTGTTTTGCAGCCAGCAAGCAAATAAGATAGGGATTGTTCTGATCGGAACACTGAAAGCCAGTCTGATTTAGGGGATGGATCTGAAATACAACACCAAACTTTAAAGCATGAGGGAAGTTTGGCTCTGACCCACCCCTCAACTAATAAAGGACTTTTGATATGGGACTTTAGTAAAAGTAAATAGTTGTGAGACCAGCTCTTATAGATATGTTCTGTAACATCCTGTCAGTGAGATGCCCAGGGACAGTCTGACTCTCAAGGACTACTACCCTGTTATTAAATAAAGGGGATGTGGTGTAGGTGGGCATAGAGAAAAGGATTTGTTGTGGTATAAGTATAAATATATAGTATAAATTGTTACCATAAGGATATATGCAGTAGAAAAAAATTAGGGCAAACTGTGGGTCCAAAACCCTACAGGGCTTCAAAGCCCTTCCCACTGCTGTGCTCCAGACAAGAGCATAGGTCAGCATCTCTTCCTTGGTTGGATATGCACATATTAAAGGACTCATGTAAAATTTGAGCTGGGTAAAGAGCTAGAGCCATTTTTTCTGTGAGTGTGCTGTGCACACTTCTGAGTGTGCTCCCTTTGAGAGGCAATTTGCAATGAAGAATTTGCTGTTCTGGAACTCACTCCTCCCACTTGGTCTGTTGAAGTCTGAATACATTGACCTATGGGGCACATTGTGAAGCCTAACTATTTTCCCAGGATTTTTCTGAATGAATGACTTGAGTAGGTAGAGAGAAGAACGTTTCATTTGTACAGTACGTGGAGGCTTTTAATTAATAATGTTCCCATTTGAATGCCTATTGTATTTTTAAACGTGCTTTGTACATAGGCCTAGAGCATCGGATAACTGCAGGGGTTTTTTTCCAATTAAAACAAAAAAGAAATCCCACAACCATGTGACATTGCTGCCACATGTCTTTTTGTGATATCTTTATACAGTGTCTAGAACAGTAGCCCCTGATCTGGACCATGACTTCTGGGTGCCAGCACTACCCAAACTAAGCAGGTCTCAAGGAGATGAAGTTTCACACCAGTTGGAAAGTTTGACTCTGTTGATCATCACTGTAGGGTTGGGGATGTTCTACTGTCCATCAGTGACGTTAGAAGTGCCTTGTGTGTTTTTACCTTCTTCCTTTATGGATTTGGAGCTCTTTAGAGATTAGGTCTTTTCTTGGGTATATTGGGCATTTCCTACTTTTTTAACAAAAGAATCAGCCTAGTGAGTTGTCTCATAGCAGAGGGGGTTTGTTTGTTGAAAAGAAAGGTTTTAATAGGAAGTGAAATTGGTGCTGTTTGAGTTGGTTCCAGTTTGAGAAGGAATTTTTAAATGTATCTAGTTGTTGTGGTAAAAAACCTTTCTTTGTAAAAAGGTACTCAGTTTTGATACCACAAATTTGCAGTATTTTTTCGACTTTGTCCTTCTCCAAACACTCTGACATAACCTGAAGATAAACATTTTATTTTTTCATTGTAAAATGTCTCCAAATTAAAAAATTTCCTATGGCGATATTAATTTCACTGTTTGATCCAGCTGGTGGTCTGTGGGTCAAATATGACTCAGGGAAATGCCTTTATATGGTCAAATTCTTTCTCCCTCTGGGAGATGCAGACAGCTTTACTGTGGTATGTGCTTCCAAAGCATAGGAATACATCCTTCTGTGCCTGGTCACCACACCTGCCCTGGACACCTTCATGCAGAAGAGGTCACCTTCCACTGTGGGTTTGTGTGAGTGGAGCAGGCACAGGTCACTCAGCATCACCCCGTCAGTACAACCATATTGGCAACATTTTTCTCATTTCAGTTTGCTATTAATTTTTTTTTTTTTTTAATTTACACCTGGACCAGTGTCAAATATTTTGTGAAGACAGATGAGGGCGCTGCCACCAAACTGGAGTACTACTGCACAATTTATTGGGTTTAAGCTGTTTTCTTGATGAAGAAGCTGTTGTGCCAAGACAAGCATCCAACAGGCTTTTTCCACACACTGTCCTTGTTGTTTTAGTTCTCTCTCTGTTTTGCTGCTGTATTTTGAATTATAGGTGAAAACCACTATCCTTCCTGAAAGCCTTAAAAACCCCCTCCTGCCACCTCTGCTTTTTCATTCCTTTTCACTGAGTAGGCTGCCAAAATTGATTTTTGAGTATTTACTGCAACATGCCATGGGGCCTTCCCTCCCTGATCAGGCAAGTGCAGGGCAAAGGACCAGATGAACTCCAACCTGGATCCAGAAACTTAATGCAGAGCTCCTTTGAGAGACACCACGGACAACCACACTGTTTTTCTTCCTCTCTGAAAATGCTGTGAGAATCTTACAGTTAAATCAGGTGTTGTACAAGCTTCCATGTACAGCTCTGTCAGTGCACCACAACCCTGACCTGCACTACTCTTGTGTTTCTATGCCCCTCAGGAAAGACAGCATGGTTTGTACTGAACTGTGAGAAGAGCTCAAATTTGTACAAATTCTGCCTTTACATGAGGATACACAAAGGTCAGTCACAAGGTGAGGGTTGGATTTAGCTTTAAGCCAAGAAAAAAAATAGACTTTACAGAAGAAAAGACGAGATGCATCATTCCACAGAATAACTAATCTATTGCAGGTACCATGACCAGCATCTTATTCTATTTCCTTATTTTAATTTACATGATGCATGTTCTGCAGAATTAAAGAATTAACTTTCCATTGCTTTTGCAGTCTGTGGAATCCTAAAAATATTTTGACTGGAAAAAAATAATACTTTGCAACATGAGTGATGGCAAGTCCAAACACATATATAAGAGGAATAAACAGTTTCAGCTCTAAAAGCCCTTCCTGTATATAAAATGAGTTAAAAAAACTGACTCACAACAAACTGCTCTCAGGTAATTAATATTTACATCCAAAGGAATGAGGTACAATCACATATTTAAAGTATCCAACACTTCATATAGTTGTATAGTTGTATAGTTGTTCAGCTGTGCTTGCTGGTGCTGGCAATGAGATGCCACCAAGCAAAAGAATAGTTTATTGCAATTTTCTTTCTCTGAAGGATTCCTCTTGCTAAACACTTATCTGAATACATGCTGGGGGGAGAATGTTATGACTGAATTATTCAATCTATTTTTCAGTTAGAAGTTTGTACACAAAGTCTAAGAAATGTGATGGGCAATCCCTGCTCTTCCTATGTTGAGTGTGAGGAGGTCTGGGATACAGCCAGGAAAGAACAGAAGGAATTACTGACTCCCGAGTCCACAGCAGACAACACCATGTAGAGTCCCCTCTTCAAAGTAAGCCACACAGGTAGTGATAATGTGACAGACACCTATCTCCTAACAGTAGAAAAATAAAGTGATAATGTTGGGAAATGTTTACAGTGGCTTACCATGGGTGTTCATAACAGCCAAAAGCAGATCGTTATCCACCAGCTAAGCTGGACTGTAGTTTTAGTGTTCCGAGGTCCATAGTACCCATGGATATTTAGATATCAACTGTGGCTTGCTATGTCCACTTCCATCTCATCTGGCTGTGAGGTGGCAAGATCTGTATCACATTGCTATGAGCTGCACAAATGCTGCTTCCAGATTCAGCTGCTGCAAAACATTTTACATGAGTCGGAACAAAGAGATTCCAGCTGGTCCAGGCTGAAGCAACATGTTTGCTTCCTTCTCCCTTTCATCTCTAAGCTCATTCATGCTGAGAGCGGATATAATTGCTCTCTATAAATACATTCAGGTTAGGCACTAAAGCGAGAGAAAAGATACTTAAGCAAATGGACAATGATGACACAAGAACAAATGATTACTAATGAGCAATGAATAAATTCAACCCGTAAATTAAAGTTTCTGATTTTCAGAAGGCTGAAGTTCTGAAACACCTTTCCACTAAAACTAGGTAGAAAAAAAGAATAGTTTTTTTCTTGGTGAAGCTTAGTAAATGTATAGACTGTGAGATACCGTTGCTTACAGCAGCAGAGGAATGGACTTGGTAATCTAGCAGATCCCTTCCATTCCTGTGCAAATAGTAAACACAAAATATGCCTGGAGTTATGTTAGTCTTCTGTTTTACTTTTATTCCAGGCCCTTTGGAATCTGACTTTTTTAAAGTTTAACCAAAGTTGCTCTTGCAAAATGTCTTACAGGCTCTTGTTAACAACAACACCTAATAATTTTTCTATCAGGTTTGTCAGATATCTACTACTTGAGCATGAGCAACCTGATGGCTTATCTTCCACAACTTCGGTGACTGTCTATGAAGGACTTTCTTCATGTACTTTTTTTCTGCTCTAGAGACTCTGCAAGTTCTGCTGTGATTCTTTTCTCAAGTCTCTACACCTGACCTGAAAATGTACCCCTTCACAGATAAATCACAGACAACATTCTATTCCATCCATCCATCCATCCATCCATCCATCCATCCTCCATCCATCCATCCATCCATCCATCATGTTGCTGCAAGAAACATTTTCTTAGCCAATTGTCTGACCACATCACCCTTTAGAGGTCCATCAGCTGTATTTCCTTTTTTTATCATCTGACACAGGATTTTGCCTTTACTCACAAACTCATTTTACCCACCTACAGCATCATGTTAAGCCCCTAGATATGAGCTCCCCCTTGCAATCCACCCATGCAGTGACCCCTTACCCCCACCTACTTCATTGATTTTCAGTTCTGTTTGTGTTCTGTTCCAGCCACCATCTCTGGGAGCAGCTCTCTGGTAACATCAAATAACCTCATTATCCTTATTCCAAATGCTGATGTAAACTCTTCTTTCACAATGCCTGCACAAAATTGGACCACAATTTGTAAGTTATGTTTCTATGATTTTTGCTTATTACTGTGATCAATAGGGTTCAACTGTTTCTTTGTACCTCCTCCTACCTTGTGCCATACATACTTTGTAAATGGTCCAGGGCAATGGCTGGCCTCTTAATCTGTGTTTATACAGGAGTTAGTTCAGTGGTATTCTGGCTCTTGACAAAGTCCTATGCTGATGTTCAGCTGTAACAACAGAAAAAATAACACTGTTATATCAGAAACACTGTTCATTCTTTTGTTCGAGCTGTCATTCCCTGTCCAACAGTGAATACTGTTCAGGTGCTTCTGGTCTTTATTTTTTATACTGGCCCTCTGGGACTCCTTCTGCTTTGCTGACATTCCTTATAATGATTTTTTTCTCTGGAAGAACAGAACTATCAATATATTGGATTAAGAACTAGGATATTTTTAGTGAGAAGACCATGGAGGTAAGTTCAGGTCATTCGAAGAGCAAACTGAGCATCTGGCTGTTTGTAGGGATAGTAAAATAGAAAGGAAACCTGTGGAGCTGTGGTCTGTTCCCAGGTCTGTTATGGCTACTTTACTGGTGAGGTTAAAATATTTCACACTTTTGGGAGTTCACTTCAATTTGTGTTTTGATTGACTTCCAGAATTCAACTAAAAGCTTCCAAGGGAAGGGACAGTAACGTAATGTTTTGAACTCCCCAGCACAAACACTTATAAGTGCTGCTGTGACCTCCTGCACCACCATCTTTGTTACAACTCAGCTAACACAATTAGACCCTAAAGAGTGGCCAGTCAAAAACTCCCTCTTTCTAAGGGGGAAACTGTGCCTTCATTTTGGAAAGAGAGATATATCACAGAGCTGGAAGTGGCAGCTCCCATGGAGATGGTGGGAAAGGGCAGGCAGCAGTCAGCAAGGCATTAGAGGGGACAGAAAGGATTTTCTGCAGCCTGGACAGAACTAACTGCAACCAAAAGTCCCCAAGTCAACTCTTACCAGGTATGGAAGCAAGGACCTGCCTGCCAGGATTTCGTAGGCAGGGATACTGCTGCACATGACTCATTTTGATTTTAGTTCTTACCTAGCAACTTTGTGTTTCCTCTCCTCAAAAGATTACGCTTCTTGTTTGTGCTCTACACAACCTGGCTTTGTGAGTTTAAAGCCTGACAGACTTCTCTGGGGAGCTCAGTATAGGAAAAGGTCTAGAAGGCAGCTCCATCTCAAAGCTCTGGTCAAACCAGTCATGTCACACCTCCACAGTTACAAAAATCCTTAATTTAACACTTTTCTTCCTTTCCATATGGCGTTGTAAGAAGGAAGAAGTGGAAAATATATTAAATATACCAAAGTATTGGTCTTGGTAATACTGTACCCCACATACCAAAAGCACTTTAGTGCCGTAATGACTACATTTACAGAGAATAAGTTCAATGAGAAAATGCAGGCACGTGCCAACCAATTCAACACAAGAGGTTTCAAGTCTGCCAACAGGGTGCAGAGACTCCTCCTGAGCTCTTTTCCTTCCCCACGATAGCCCTTAGGTAAATGTTTGCAGGAAATTCAAATACTCATGAGCTGGCGGAGTTGCTGCTTCCCCAGCCCTAACAAACGTAAACACTTCTGTTTCAGCACATCTGCCATTGCAATACCTACAGCTTTTCCAGAACCAAAGGATTAACTTTATTGTGCATTTGCTCTGCAGATCTGGTAACACAATATTGTACTTCTAAGAGGACAGATTACTCACAAGTTTCTGAATGCTACATCTTTAGAAACTCACTCTACTTAAAGATAAGTGTTGAATCTTGCAATCCCAGAAACATCCAGCTGATGTAAAAACCAGTTATACCAATGGCCAGATGGATGCTATTTTTCCTCAGGTTATTTGGATGTTCCAAAGTAATGGTTCTGTTATTATTTTTTGCACTTTAATATTAAACAGATGCAGCTTGTTTGCAAAGACTGCTATGAACCATTTTTTTTCCTTAGATTTATAAAATAAAACAAAAAAAGATGTAAGGAGTTAGAAGGGGTTTTTGGTATTACTTTATCATAAAAGGGAAAGAGAGACATTACATCAATACAGATAATTACATGGGATTTATACAATATATGTATTAAAGAGCATTTTATGAACCTGTACAGAGAGCTTCATTCAACATTTCTAGAAACCAGGTGTAATGCCACAGACATTTATTTTGGATAAGGATAGGCTCAAATCTAGACAAGTCATAATTACGTATGTGTGTCTGTGTGTGCAGCTGAGCACATCAGACACACTTTAGTAAATACTGAGAAACTTACAGAAGAGTTTTCCTGGAGAGTAAGGTATCATCTTATCTTCTGGGTTGTTTTTCAGGATGGCCATCATCCTGTCCCAGTCTAGGGACTAATCATGGAAAGTGCTGATATCTCCCAATTTCCACCTGACCCCATGACAGCTGAGAGCTCTGCCCTGCTGTACTAGTACTAACAAGAGACCAAAAATAAACATGCTTTTATATCAAAGGAAGCAAAATGTGATTGACAACCCTCAGAGCAATTTGCCTGCTAATCAGTTGGGAAGTTTCTCCCATAATCCTGGTCTCCCCACTTAGTTGACCTCTTCTGTGGAGTGTTTCGCCCTTTGACCTAAAGGGAATCTGAGCCTCCAAGTGACTCTCTTTAACCAAAATCTGTACTGTACATGACTGATTTATTTACACAGATGGGAAGCAGTCTAATTGCAAAACCTTGGAGATAAACTGTCTCCCTAAAGCAGATGCACAGTGAGGATGTCCACTTGGCTGAAGGCATTCCTTTCCTCACAACCAAGGGAAATTGGCCAAACTGACGAGCTATTTAAGTGTTTTGTAAATAGGCATCCTTGAAATGTGGAATATTTAATCACAAGGAGTATTGCTACTGCTGCTATTTATTTCACTTTGTCTCCAGTTACTTTATTTTACTAGAATATGAGGATCTCTTCTCAATCAGATTATAAAGCACCCTGCATTTTAAAACCTTAAGTTCAGAGAGCAATAATTTTTTTTAAACATTCATTTTGTCTGATAATTGCTATGCTGAGTTCCCATTCAAAAGCAATATTATTATTATTGTTAAAATTCAAACATTAAGATTTCAAACACTATGGAGTGTTAACCTTAGTTTTAACCTTAGTTTTAACAAGTACTCTGCAGCCAACATGGAAGGGATCCTTTCCATTCTAGTGTGGAAATAATCTTAACTGAGGAATTAGCACTTTGTCTTGCTGTGAAGGAAACTGAGTTTAATTGACTGAGTTCTGAGAGTTTAAAAATCCAACCTCTGAGCCTGCTGGGTACACAAATGAAATGGACTTTAGGGTCCATGTTACCAACATGTCGAATATCCTCCCTTCCCAGGGGCTTTAACAGGACTGAAGCTGCTGAGTAGTTCTCAGAAGTTTGCTCTGCATTGCAGAATTGTGTCCACAAGATCCATGGATTGTATGTGTGGGTAAAGCTTACTTTGCCATGCCATCACTGACTAGTCCTAACAGTGGTTGGCCTGAACTTCAAAGTCTTAGAATAAAAGGATGTTCTGCATTCAGGTGATGCCATGTGACTTTTAGAACAGTACCATAACACAGTCCCTTGCTGCTTTTACTGAAATTTGTTTGTCAGCTCTCTCTCCTGCCCTGACAAAATACTTCCCTGAAAACCTAATTTACCATTGAAGCAAAAGATCCACAGTTCTGGGTGCAGACACTTCACTGACTCAGTAGGGATTAACAGTCAAACATCCTTTTAAAAGAACTGAAGATACAGTCAAGCTGAGTGGTCCAGATCTGAGGTTTTCTAGACCAACCTCAATATTAACACCTCTATAATGAGCATGTAGACATTTCATAATCTGCATCTGTGTGACCAATACGTAATTTGGTTGGACAGGAGTTTGCCTGAAGCAGTATGGAAAAAACCCCAATAGTATATATATACAAAATAGAAACTAGTCAAGATGACTCTGAGTTTCGTGATTGCCCAATGGCATGGCTGTGGGCAGGGGACCAAAACAGGCTCTGTGGATAATCAGCACTGTCACCCTGGAATTACTATACACTGTGTTACTGTCTGAAAAATGATGCCCTCCTGTCCTGCCAGGGGGACACTGAATATACCTGCTTTGTTCACTGCAAGGATGAACGTGGTAAAGATTACCCAGCTTGTACAATATGGGAGACTTGGGTTGGGGTACAATTCCTGCCCTATCAGGGACATCAGCTGTAAACTTAAATAACCAACAGCCAGGAGCTGAGGAAGGCAACAACACAGACAGGGGTGACATTTGGGGATGTGTTCATCGTGTGAGCATCAACCCCTAAAGTCAAGAGCACGATTGTGTTGCTGCCTGCTGGACCCTTGTTCCCCATGAATTCAGGGGAGAGGATTTATATTTGCTGCATCAGAATGGACCAGTCAACGCAGGATAAGTGCACTCTCAACTTCAAAGGGTATTTAAAGTTAAGATCAAGCCAGGCCATCTGCCAGGTACCATGACAAAACCTCTTCACCAACTGTGAGGGAGCCAAGGTTCTGTACATTTCCACAGCAGAAACCTCCAAGAGACCTCCAAGAGGTCTCCTCAAGTTAGGTAGATAATGCAAAAGATAACTGTTACAGACTTTGATGAAGTGGGCACTATGGATACTGAAGAGAGAGTTCCAAGTTGCTAAAAGCTGCCAAGCACTTCCTTTTATGTCGATGTTCCATTACCTTGCATTTTTCCTATGGCTATATTTGGCAGCGCTTTTTCTCTGGACTAGTCATCCTCTCCCTTTGGCAAAATTATTATTTAGGACTACAGACCCAGTTCTGCATTAATATTTCACCTCTGGATATAATGATCACACTAATAAATATCTTCTATTCCAATAACATTTATCCACAATTAAGATGGAAACCTAACATGCCCAGCTGTGAGCACAGTGACTTACCATTAGTTTTACAGAAGTACCTGATAGAGATCTGAATCTATTTTGCACAATCTGGGTTTTTTCTTCTGGGAGAAAAAAATTTCAAGATCAACCTCTGTGCCAAAAAATGGGGACAATGAAAAGAGATGTGAGCATTGAATTTTCTGGCCCTGCATTTGGGAAAGTGCTCTAAGAATTACAATAAATAAATATATTATAAATAAATTATAATAAACTCCTGTTGAAAAAAAAAACAAACACACACACAAAAACCAAACCTGTTCATCTGATTCATAGTTTGTATGATTAAAAACCATTTTTTCCCCACTATCTTGAACTCCACATTTGGACTAAGGTAGTGGGGTTTTCCATGACACAACAAAATAAGTAAAATCTGTAGTGACAAACAACAGCAAAGAGAGCCTCCACAGAGTTCTTACAGAAGCAGAATAAAATTCAAAACTGCTTCAGAGAAATACAAATACTGCAACAGACAAAGCTTTATGCTGGCTTGAAGGCTCTACCTGCTGAAAAGCAGCTGCTTTAGGTACTTCTGTGGCCTCTTTACCGTATCATCTTAAAACCTCACACCTTCTAAATGATCACATTCTCAGAGAGACACTATTTATCTCAATTTTGCACAAGAGGAGTTGAAGCAAATGCAAAGTTTAAAGGCTTTTTCACCAAGGTGTTTAGGTACTTACATCCTGATTGCTTTCAAAGGAAAGGTAGGAGCCTGAGTACCTTCAGATTTTCCAGGTCTGTGTGGCTCTCTAAAGGCCACAAGGAAATTATGCAGCAGACGAGAAGAATTTCAGCAGAGAATTTTATCCAAATTTATTTTTAACTCTGTTCTTCCAACTACTGGTAATACCCAATCAACTAGATCACCTTCCTTGTGTTTCACATCCTCCTTATTTCCTAACCCTGCCCTACCTCTCTACGCAGGTACAAATACACAGTGGAACCTTAGCAGAACTTCACTTTATACCTCTTTGCAAGTTACAGACACCTGTCACATCAATGCTGCCACACACATTGGGGTTTTATAAAAGAGTTCAACATAAATTGTTGAGACTATTTGTAGTTTTCATATTAACCAAAGGGCTTGTTGACACAGCAGTTGGTAAGGACACAGGGCACAGTGAACTGCATTAGAGAGAGTAGTTGCCACCTATAATACTTTAAAGGGTTTAAATTGAGACACAAATTTCCACTAATTTCTGTGTCATGATATCACTTGGGAGGAAAGCCCACAGAGTACTTTTCCATCATCTCCAACTCAGTGTTGAATCTATTTGTATTCCACAGTGTTTTCTGTTTTCGTTCTGTATAATATGTAAAATAAAGATATTTATACAGCCAACATTTAAATTATTGTACTAACTACTGTAACAGTAAAACTAGTATGTGTAATAATGGTAAGTTGAATGAATGTACAGTTTGCATACAGTGTTTTAATTCCATAATCTCGCAAGCCTTAGCTTTTGGATGGACAAGGAGACAGATTACTTATAGTAACAGTCTTTATGCCTTTTTTATATGCTGTTCTACTAAGTTTGCCAGAAGAATACTGAATTCAAAAGGCTTATTCTTCTTTCTTATTTCTGTTGGTCGTCCTAGGAGGAGACCATAAATTTCCAGGCACCTGTAGACCCCAGGATAAAAGCTATTAACTTACATGCTTAAAATTAAGCAGTGTTTTTGTTGAATCAGCAAATACAGGCTTACATTAGTTATTTGATGAAATTAATATTAATTTTTTTAATAACTTCTTTGATGAGCGTAAATTGGTTGTAATTGTAAACTTGGCTCTATTTCACTTTAGTACTTTTTGCTTGGGTAATGTCTGCTTTGAGATTATTTTCATTTTACCACCCCAGTAATGTGCACTAATCATGTTTTATCTTGTTGTAAGTAAATAGCTGGGATATTGCACAGAACTGTTTGATCAGTATGGCGTGATTTAAGAGAATGGTTATGCCTCTATTTATCTCATAATCCTGCTTAACATCTGTATGAATCATTATAGTAAGGTGCGTGTTAATAACAGCTCCACATATACATTTATATGCACAAAAGCTAAAATGTTAGTAGCCTTTTATTTCAGTAGATTTAAAGGGTCATTGTCCTTTTCCATTGAACCAAAATACTGACAATATTTCACTTATCATTTGTGTTTCCTCCTTCCATCCACTTGTGTCTTGCTTCATGAGTGATATCACCCTATGCCACGTGGTTTGAAAATCGTGAGCCTTCAGGTCTTTGAACCCTCATGTGATAGAAAGGCCACGTTTGTAAGCTTCCTTCTGACAATATCCCTAAGGAAAGCTCTTGGGGACTTGGAAGACATTTTGAAAACAAACAACACCAATCCCATTTCAAATCTCATGAGGTCACAGACCAAGCTGGCTCTTTGCACACCTGATGTATGCATGGACTGTGGACCACTGGGTTTCCTGCACACTAACCATGTCCCCTTCAAAGCTGGGGGGCACTGGGGAAGGGAGATGGCCATGTCTTAGGAGAACATTGCAGAAATCCATCCAAATGGGTCTCTGCGATCTTTTCTTTCCATTTCCCTATCTTTGTTCTTCCACAGATTCCACAGGAAAAAAAAATTAGCCCCATGTTGATGTATCTGTTCCTTCCTTATGGCTCAACAGGATGCAAACAATTTATTTTGCAGCAGGCCAGTCAGAATTTGGTTTGTCAGGCTTTGTATGGAAAGAGGCACTAAACACACATGATTTCTTCCTTCCTCTCTGCTGTGTCAGGGGCTACAGACTGAAAGGTAGCAATACTGTGTCTTCACTTGATGCCAGTTTTTATGGCCTCTTTTCTGGCTTTTTGCCACAACAGATTGCATAGATTGGCACTTCTCAGCAGACCACACAGGAGTTACACACTGTTACACAACCCTGCTGCTCCACAGTGTAAACACCTCTCTCCAGCATTTCAGTCACCATCTCACTTTCTTTGTATTTGGCTTGACTTGTGCTAATCTTGAGTTTGAAAGCTTTCAAGAATTAGTTGCAACCTTGAATAAGAAGGGTCAAAAAGGAGAGGGAGAGTCATGGCTAAAAAAGAAGGGGTGCATACTGTAGGCATATCTAATATGAACATGATGTAAACACACAAGTACCTCATTTTTGAACTGTCTGCTTGCCCACAAGAAGCTCACCTCAACAGTCCTGCACAGAAAATAATAGGTGTCCCTCACATTATTTCAAATCAAGAGCCACAAGACAGGGTAACAGGAAAATGCAGGAAAATAAGTCCTGGAGTGCCCTGCTTGGACAAGACATGCTGTCCACCACAGTATTGTCTCTGCAATGACTTGGATGGGTCCTCTGAAAGCCAGAATTTCACTCCTGAAACTCATTTAGTAACATGCCTGGTGCATCTCCCACCCTGAGCTGGGTACAGACCTGAGGTCATGTTTTTAAAGATCTCAGTCCCTAGTTAAGTCCATAAAGATATGTTTCAGACCAAAATCGTCACAATAGAAGTTAAAGGAATTTAATCTATTGATTTATGTGGGACAGGATTTTATATTCTATAATTTATTGCAGAGGAACTCTATCAAACCCCTATGGCATTCGACCTGCCCACTGGAGTTTACTTTGCAACACAACAGAGAGTGAAATTTTTTCTAGTCACAGTAAAAGACACATATTTCATACCAATTATATTAGTTTAATTCTCTTACCTACTTACCAAATCTGAAATATTTCACAACAGGTCAGGGAAAGCTATTCAACTTCTCTTGTATTTCTATTTCTGAAAATAAAAAAACCGGGGAAGTTCAGACTTTCAATAATTACTCCTGTATATAAAATACATATAAAATGCTGTTTTAAGATGAAGTTCGCTGCTGTTCCATGAACACATATAATAAGCACATAAATTGGGATCCACTCCTAATTTCCAGATGTTTTAAAAAAGATATCAAGCTGTGCAACAGATTACAAAGAGTTTCTCTTTCAGAACTGAAGGACAATATTTTCAAGCTTTTGAAAACATCTTACATTAATTGATCCAGCCCCTAGGTTATGTACAAGCCACATTTTCACAACAAACATTACTGTAAAAATGGTACCACTAAATGTAGTTTCACTGCAGTTTGGATTTTACCTACATGAAGCTGTCTAGAAAGGTCACTTTATATCCATGAAAATGGATGATATCTACACCCTGTAATGCAGTGAGGTCATTCCTGAACAGCATTCCTTATCTGCTTTTCCAGAGAAACACCCAAGATACTGATCAGATTTCTCAAATTTTAAAGTGCACCTTCCTCAGTTCCTTTATTATTTTCAAATCAGCTCAACTGAACACAGCATTTTTTCTTCTGTTTGATGATGCACTAAGACGAAAGCATCATACACCTGTCCTCAATCACATTAGGAATACTGCTATTTTCTGACTGTGATTAATTTTAATAGAATTATTTATGAATTTAAGTAGAATCTTTTGAATAAATTTAGTTTAAAAAATATTTTTTTCTGCTTAATCAAGACACTATTTATAATGAAGTGAACCAAATAAGAACCAAATTATTTTCTCAGGTGTGTGTACAGCATCACAGTGATATCACATCATCTGTGAAAATCTTCCATGAGCTTGATCCAGATGTTCAGCATCCATACAATGGATGATTTTGTGGGAGTTGAAGAGTGAAATCCTGACTATTGACCTCAACAGCAAAGAATTTTACTTAGTACTACTAATGAGTGGGCCAAACACTAAAATTTTTACTGTTAGGTTATTAAAACTTTCAAAATAAATGGATAAATGACACCTCTGTTTAAATACCTACTCAATGCTGACTGCAATCATTAAATAAATATCATGCATTGATGGATATTATTAAAGCCATGTCTGCCTGCAAAGCCATTGAATTGTCCACATACCCCAGACAAATTAGCTTAGTTTGTTTGAACATAATCTTTAATTATTTGTATTTATCTTAATAAATATTGTCGTATTTTGAGATAGACATTCAAAATAGCAGAAAATAAGTGTAGTGTTTTTCTATTTTATTGATAACTATCTGATTGTTTCCTGGTATATCCTATTCCTCCCACAGCCTGGGCCAATCCAGAATTGTTATATGCATCAGTTTCTTCTGTGCAGATGATGCTGGTTTTCAACAAGCTAAATGAAAACTCCTTTATGTGCATTGACATAGCAAGCAATTGCTAAGAGAATGGCTTTCTATTTTGACTCACCCTGCCCTGGGACTGGGGAGACAACACTTGTGATCTTTTTCATTTACTGATTATAAAACCTGATAAGAAAAGAAAAACCTTTTAATGAGGTGAAATCAAAATCCCTTCTTGAGCCACTGGGTAATATAACTCACGTTGCTAATGCAGTCAGGATGGGAATTCAAAATAGAATTGCAAGGTGATTTCATGATTTGAAAAGAGTTCCTAAGTAGTATTTACAGGATATCCTTGCTGAGTAACCAACATTCATTCAGAAGACAAAGTGCCATAGCGAATATACAGATACACAGATTAGGAACAGACAGATTAGAGATAATAATTAAGTTTGTGAAAATTATCACTTAGCAAAAGAATACCAAATTAAGAGATCAGTATAAAGAAAAATGGTATAAAAAAAAAAAAAAGAAAAAAAGACTCAACATATGAGAGACAAAGATTTGTCCAGGAAGATGTTTTTGGACTATGAGGTAGCAAAGGAGTGAAGAGAAAGGATCCAAGATGGCACTGAAAGAGAGGAACTCTGCTAATGACAGCACAGGACACATCTGAGGTCTTTGAAAGAGATCTTGCAGTGCTGGAGATAGAAAAAACTGAGGGACCACTCTTGGAGGACAGCAGAGACCAAAAATATCTGCATTTTTAGGAGAAAGAGCCAGAAAAGAAAGCAAATTAAAATGGTGGTTAGATGAAAACAGGGACAAGAAAACAGAGACATCAAAGAACAGTAAATACTTCAAATATATCTGAGTTAGCTCCCAAATGAAAAAAGTCAGGAAGCCACAATGATGGTCACAAAGAGGGACAGTCATCAAGAGGGAATCAGAAAAGATGGACATCAGCGGATGTTTTCTTTGAAGAGGATGGCAAAATCCTCCTTGAAGATCAAAGGAAGTGAAAAGATTTATAGACTGAGTGTCATCCTCAGCTCACATACACACACACTTGTCAAACTAGAAAATAAGTGAAATTCTTGGTCTTACATAATATTTCAGATAAGTGCAAGCAGAAAATCTTAGCTCAGAGAAGATCCACAAGAATATCTAACAATATGTTTCTTAAAACTCCTACGAAACAACAAAAGAAATTTCCTTAGGATGCCAAAGGAGGTCATTGTACACATTACTGTGGGAAATAATTACATGAAGTGTTATTTGAGAAGAACTTTTAACGTTGGAGCAAAGTTGAAAAGCAAAAAGATTAACTTTTTATATTGGTAAGTTTGAGCCCTTCTGTGCTACCTTTACTGTTATTTGAGATCAAACAATGGATTCCACTTTTGTAACAGTTCTGTCTGGAATTTTAGGGAAGCCACACTCCTGTGTCTTACTCATTTCCACACAATTTATCACATCATAAATGCACAAGTTTATCAAACAGACAAACTATACCTGAAAAGAGTCTTCTCTGCATTTGAAAGGTCTCTAGTATATTTAGATATTTCCTTAACTGAGAAATCATTACCGTGTTATCCTATATTGCAACAACAACATGGATGTGTTTTCTTCATTAGAACTTTTCTGCGTGGCACTACAATCCAAGGATCATAAACAATGTGTTGCTGTACCAGATCTGTGCACAAGTGGCTTTCTGCAAGAGTGATGTCTGTAACAGCATTATCTGTGCTACACTTACATCCAGCCCCAGTAAGAGTGAGGATTTATTAGGCTAAACATCATAGACATAAAAATGCCAAGGTGGAGTTTCTGCCCCAGAGGGCTCAGTCAGTGGGTAACTCAACAAAGGATACAGCAAATAGGGAAGAAATAAAGTTTTTAAGGTCCTGCAGTGAATCAGATTTTCTAGGAAGACAGTGGAGATACAGCAACTTTGGTGCCATTTTCTAATAGGGTACCATCATCCAGGCTGATGGAATTAAAGGAGGATCCCTCAGTGTTTGCCACAGCAGCATTCATTCTTGAAAGTTCTTTCCTTCAGTCAAATCTCTCATCTGTTTCCCTCTTTCTCTTGCTCAGGTCTCTCCTTCTCTTCATCATTGCTTTATATCCTCTCTTGTACCCTTCACCACTCAATTCTGGGGCAGGGAAGCAGGAGACAGAGAGATTCCCTTCTTGGTAAAAGCTTATCCCTAGTGAGACAGTATCTCCAAGGCAAAGAAAAGTACCAAGCTCCTGTTCACAAATAGATCTCACTGGACAATTGCACATCTAATTTGCCACTTGCACAGGCATCTTGTTCCCTCATAACCAGGAAAATTATTTGTATGAAGTAGGTGCTGTATTGTGGGGATGGAAATCAGCACTGCAGTGATTTGTTTATTTAGTTTTCCTCAAGAAAAATTGTGTCAGCTTTCGTATACATTCACGACACTTCTCTTACATTGCTAACCATCAGTAAAGTTAGTGATTGTCATTAGCAAAAGAATCAAACACTGACTGACAGTAAAAGCCAGTAAAATAGTCACTTGTCAGTAAAAATGGCAAGATAATTTAGAACTTTTCATTGCTTTGGCATAAGTTTCTGGACTATCTGAGTACTTTTAATATCGAAGGGCTTTATTTATCATAGTTGAAATGACGGGCTCTATAAAAATTGACATATATGACCATAAACAGAAGTAGTAAGAATCCCAAATTGCCTTGAAAAATGTACGCCAAATTTCACAAGTTAAATCAAAATTCAGACTCTGAATATGTGTGGAAAGACCAAATGCAAATGGAACAGGTTGCCCAGAGAAGCTGTGGATGCCTCATCCCTGGAAATGTTCAAGGCCAGGTTGGATGGGTCTCTGAGCAACCTGATCCAGTGGAAGGTATCCCTGCCCATGGCAGAGGGGTTGGAAATGGATGAGCTTTAAGGTTCCTTCCAACCCAAAATATTCTATGATTTTATGTGTTTGAAAAATGTCATTGTTTAAATTGAGTCAATATTTTGATGAGTGTATTTTTCCCCTCCCCACTGAGGATCATTTTCAAAATCAAAAAATGTAGGATCTGTCCTAAATCCTTTGAGAATGTACTCTCTAATGTTAAAGCATGGGTTGCACAGGCTTAAACACTGCGGTGACTGCTTCTAGGCATCAGTACCTGAATTCCCTGTGACCACCACATGAATTAACAAGGCAAAGTTCATTTTCAACACCAATGTTTGACTCATTACTGAAGCCCTCCTAGTAAGTGAGGTGCTTCACCAGGGACCTGTAAAACAGCTGCCCTCTGGGTGTCTTGTTTTGGCGGCCTTTCCCATCTGTTTTACCTGTCTACCCTTTTGAATAATTTATTTCACCATCTCCCTAAGTAGAACACCTGGCCTAGGGCTAACTCTTTCACCTAAATTATTCAGAGCTGAAAACTCTTTGGTTTATACTCAGATAATGTAATGACTTAACAGGACAAAACCCTTAACTTTGGAGCAACTGTGAAGGTTTCTAGGCTCTGGACTCTGTTAGCAATTTGAAAGGTTGGCTGTGTAAACTATGTACAAAAGCACCACAGAAATCCTTCATCCTCAAACATCCTCAAAGCCTCTTTCAGCAGTTAAAACTTTCCAAAGCAGGGTTGTTTTGCCTTGATGCCTCTCTGCAACATCTCAGTCCC